AGATTCAGGAAGCTTTCATAAAGCAGAGGTGTCCTTTTAGATATTTAGATGGAAAATAAAGAACATCATTAAACTAATCTTAGTTGAAAGCAGATGGCTTTTTTTTTTTTTTTTTTCCCTTGAGACAGAGTCTCACTTTATTGCCCATACTGGAGTACAGTGTTGCAGTCTCGGCTCACTGCAACCTCTGCCTCCCGGATTCAAGGTATTCTCATGCCTCAGCCTCCCAAGTGGCTGGGATTACAGGCGTGCGCCACCATGCCTGGCTAATTTTTGTATTTTTAGTAGAGATGAGGTTTCACCATGTTGGCCAGGCTGGTCTGGAACCCCTGACCTCAAGTGATCCTATCACCTCAGCCTCCCAAAGTACTGGGATTACAGGTGTGAGCCACCACACCTGGCTGCAAATGGCCATTTTATATAAAGTTCAAAACCTGGCAAAACAAATTTATGGTGATAATAGAAATTAGAAAAAAATGGTATCATTTGGTATTGACTGTGAAGGCCACATTAGGAAAACTTTTATGATGCCAGAAATGTTCTATAGTTTTATCTTAGTGGCTTTGTTGGTGTATACATTTGTAGACATCAAAATTATATACTTAGCATTAAATAAAAAAGTGAGAAGTAATAGCATTTGAGATGAGGTGAAAGTGAATTATGGGAGTATTAGCAGACATATTGCCTAAGGTGAATGATAGCTCTTTTCCCCCATTTGTTACTTTCTACAACACAAGATGGTTTTTAATTATATAAGTTACAGGTATTTAGATAATTATAAGTGTCTAAAGTTAATATTGAAGGTCTCCTTCCTTAGAGCATTGCTTGAGTCCAGGAGTTTGAGATAAAATCTTTTCTGTGTATACACCAACATTCTTTAAACACACATTTTGAGAAGTATCAAACTATATATATAATTCTGAAATTTGCTCCACCTCCACAACTCAACAGCATATAATAGATATCTTTTAGTGTCAGATTATAGACTCACCCTGATTCTCTTTAATGATTGTGCAATCCTCCATAGTATGTTTATGTCGTAACTTAACCTCCTCCCTAAACATTTCAGGTTATCTTTAGTTTTTTACTAATGAAAATAATTCTGATTAACTTTTTTTACATCTATATTTGTATATTTCTGTAAATATTGTTATAGGATAATTCCAGAACTACAATTCCTAGGTTAAATTTTGTTAGCTGCCACAAAATTGTCCTTCAATTTCAGCAACTGGGAACGATAATCTTGCCAACATTGGATATTATCAATCTTTTAAAATGTTTGCTGATCTAATAGACAAAGATGGAATCTCACTGTTTTAATTTGCCTTTCTCTGATCACTAGTGAAATTGGGCATCCTTTCTTATGTTAATTATCGATTGATGTTTCTTTTTTTGTTAATTTTGTGTGCCCTATTTTAATTCTCCTTGTCAGGAGTCGTCGTTTATGAGAATAATCCTTTTCTTATGACATATGTTGCAAATTTCTTCTCCAATTTCTTGTCTTTTAGATTTATTTGTCTTTTAGCTTTACCTTATGAAGCTATCCATTGTTCCTTTATGACTCCTTCAGTTTGTATTTTCTTAAGATCATTTACTTAGGAAGACCAGATATATTCTTATATTTTGTTCTGGAAACTTACTCTTTTGCATTTTACTTTTAAATCATTAATCATCCACAAATGTATTTCGTGAGCTAAATATATGAATATTAGTAAGCTTTTTTTTCCCCCCGAAATGGATAGCCAGTTTTTGCCATAAACCACTGAATAATCTATCTTTTCCTCACCAATTTAAAAACCAGGGATAGTACTATATGAATGAATGAGGATTATAAGAAATGTACTTTTTTTTTTTAATGCAGAGAGGAGGATGTCAGTTTTGAAGCAGAGGTCAACGATATGGGACAGGGTTTGTAGAAAGTCAAGGATAAAAGAATGTGGTTGCCTTGGGAGCTGCTGTAGTGTCAAACTGGATAGGTTTAAAAGTATAGGTGGGATGAAGTAAGAGTATATCTAGGACAGACAAATATAGGCACACCCATATGTTTATATGCTTAGCTCTATGCTTTGCTTTACTGCTCTTCACAGATATTGCAGGGTTGGTGTGTGTGTTTGCAGATTACAGATCTGTGATAACCTTGTGCTGAGCAAATCCATCAGCATCGTTTTTTGGACAGCATGCGTTTGCTTTGTGTCTCTGGGTCACATTTTGGTAATTCTTGCAATATTTCAAATTTTTTCCTTAGTATTATGTCTCTTATAGTGATCTGTAATCAGTGATCTTTGATGTTACTATTGTAATTGTTTTGGGCAGCATGAACAGCACCCATAGAAAATGACAAACTTAATAAATTATGTTGTGTGTGTTCTGACTGCTCGACCAACTGGCCATTTCCCTGTCTCTCTCCTTTGGCCTCCCTGTTCTTTGAAACAACAATATTAATATAAGGCCAATTAATAACCCTACAATGTACACCTAGTATGCATCAATATTAATCCTTCAATGGCCTCTAACTATTCCAAGTAAAAGAGTCATATGTCTCTCACTTTACATCAAAAGCTAGATATAATTAAGCTTAGTGAGGAAGGCATATCAAAAGCCGAGAGAGTCCAAAGGCTAAGCCTCTTGCACCAGTTAGGCAGATTGTGAAAGGAAAGGAAAAGTTCTTGAAGGAAATTAAAAGTGCTATGCCAGTGAACATATGAATAATGAGGAAACAAAATGGCCATATTGCAGACATGGGAAAAGTCTGAATGGTCTGGGTAGAAGATCAAACCATCTGCAACATTCCCTGAATCCAAAACCTCATCCAGAGCAAGGCCCTAACTCTCTTCAATTCTGTGAATGCTAAGAGAGGTGAGGAAGCATCAGGAGAAGAGTTTGAAGCTTACAAAGGTTGGTTTATGAAGTTTAAAGAAGGAAGCTGCCTCCAAAACATAAAGGTGACAGGTGAGGCAGCAAATGCTTATGTAAAAACTGCAGCATGTGATCCTGAAGATCTAACTAAATTAATTGATGAAGGCGGCTACACTAAACAACAGATTTTCAATGTAGATGAAACAGGTTTCTACTGGAAGAAGATGCCATCTCATAGCTAAAGAGAAGTCAGTGCTTGGCTTTCAAGGACAGGCTAATGTTGGGGGCTAATGCAGCTGTTGATTTTTAGTTGAAGCCAGTGCTCATTTACCATTCTGAAAATCCTAGGGCCTTTAAGAATTTTGCTGCATCTTACTCCCTGTGTGGTCTGTAATGCAACAACAAAGTTCAGATGAGAGCACATCTGTTGATGGCAGAGTTTACTGAATATTTTAAGCCCACTGTTGGGAACTGCTAAGCAAAAAAGATCTCTTTCAAAATATTGCTGCTCATTGACAGTGCACCAGGTCACCCATTTTCTGTGGTGAAGATGCCCAAGGATATTAATGTTGGTTTCATGCCTGCTAACAACATCCATTTTGCAGCCCATGGGTCGAAGAATGATTAAGATTCTCAAGTCTTGTTATTTAAGGATTGCATTTTATAAGGCTATAGCTGCCATGGATAGTGATTCCTCTGACAGATCTCAGCAAAGTAAATGGAAACCCTTCTGGAAAGGAGTCACTATTCTAGATGCCATTAAGAACATTTGTGGTTCATGGGAGGAAGTCAAAGTATCAACATTAACAGGAGTTTGGAAGAATTTGATTCCAGTCTTCATGGGTGATTTTGAGGGGTTCAAGTTCAAGTGGAGGAAGTAACTGTAGATATGGTGGAAATAGCAAGAGAACCAGAATTAGAAGTGGGGCCTGAAGATAGGACTGAATAAGACTTGAATGGATGAGGAGTTGCTTCTTACAGATGAGCAAAGAAAGTGGTTTCTTGAGATGGAATCTCCTCCTGGTGAAGAAGCTATGAACATTGTCGAAATGACAACAAAGGTTTAGAATATTATGTAAACTTAGTTGATAAAGCAGCATCAGGATATGAGAGTGGACTCCAAGTTTGAAAGAATTTTTACTGTGGACAGAATGCTGTCAAACAGCATCACATGCTACAGAGAGATCTTTCGTCTTACAGAGAAATCAAACAGGAAGAATCATTCAATACAGCAGATTTCATTGTTGTCTCATTTTAAGAAATTGACCCAGCAACCCCAGCCTTCAGCAGCCACCACCCTGATGAGTCAGCAGCCATCATCAAGGCAAGACCCTCCACCAGCAAAAAGAATGTGACTTGCTGAAAGCATCAGATGATCATTTGCATTTTTAGCAATAAAGTATTTTTAAAATTAATATATGAACATTGTTTATTTAAACACAATGCTGTCAACACAACTTTTATACCTACTGGGAAACCAAAAAGTTTGTGTGACTCACTTTGTTGCCATATTTGCTACATTGCAGTAGTCTGTAAACAAACTTTCTGTATCTCTGAGGTATGCCTGTGTGTACTAAAATTTGTATAAATAGTAATCAAGGGTAGGAAGTCAACAGCTATTTATGTTATGCAAGGTGATATTATAAAGGAATTCTTGGGTGTTTTTTCTTTTTGTAGATGTATTTTAATGTATTATCTTTGGCTTAGGAATTACCATTAACCATTGTATAGGAACATGTCTTAAGAGTAAGCTCTTTTTGCTTAACATCCGATTTAAGTCGAGCTTTCATATTTAGTCGTAACTTATTTATTTAAAGCTATTAATATATAAAAGGTAATTATCAATTCTGGAAAAGTTTGGCTCTATGACAGTGTACAAACTAATTCAAGAAAAAGACTACTAAGTACGTGAAGCACCACATCCAGAGAAAAAAGATTTTCTAGAAAATTCGATACACATGTGGAGGAAAGTGATTATGTGTATACTTATGGGACTAAATTTGAAGTGTGTTGGAAATGGGATTGTCAGTGTGATTTTAAAATTATTGACCTGTAACAGAGTCATTATAATTGAAAATATTGCTTTATTTGTCTTGTCTTCCCTTGCCTTTACCTCTATCCTTCTGTTTTCTCCTTTGTTACAGACCATACATCTGTTGGCGGTCTGGGAGACAGTTTTTATGAATACTTACTGAAAGCATGGTTGATGTCAGATAAAACAGACCATGAGGCAAGAAAGATGTATGATGATGCTATTGAGGTGATTATTTCCAGAACATTTTTCTACTTAACAGATTGAACATACAGTGTGTTTGGTAGTGACTAGATGACTATCTTATAACCATTTTATTATAGACATTCAGTAAATATGTATAAGCATTTTATTATATGCATTCACTATAGAGTTTGCTACTATTTTAATAGAAAAGCCTCATATTAAGTCTTCTTTTATTTGTGGCATTTTAAAGAAATTTTTGAAGAAAGAATTTATTGTAGGCCAGGTGTAGTGGCTCACACCTGTAATCTCAGCACTTTTGGGAGGCCAGGGTAGGCAGATCATTTGAGGTTGGGAGTTCAAGACCAGCCTGGCCAACATGGTGAAAACCCATCTCTACTTAAAATACAAAAATCAGCTGGGCATGGTGGTGCATGCCTGTAGTCCCAGCTACCTGGGAGGCTGCGGTGGTAGAATCACTTGAACCTAGGAGGTGGAGGTTGCAGTGAGCTGAGGTCTCATCATTGCACTCCAGTCTGGGTGACAGAACGAGACTCTGTGTCAACAATAAATAAAATAAAATAAGAATTTATTTTAGTGTATTCATGAAAATTGATTTTATTTACTTTTAGTTAATGTTTGCAGAGACTGGAAAACTTCTGACTTTGTATACATTTTCATAAACGTTTTTTCTTTCAAATGACCCCTTTGAATTTACACATTGAGAGCCTTATGGGTAAATACTTAACTAATGACAACACATGTATATAGTATTTTCTATGTGCCAGGCACTGTTCTAACCCTTCTTACATGTATGAGATCATTTAATCATTATCACCATTTTACACATGAGGACCTTAAGGAACAATGAAGTTAAAGTAACTTGCTGAAGGTTGTGTTGCTGGTAATTGTTGGGGCCTGGAACTGAACAGTCTGGCTGCCGAGCCAGTGCTTTTAACCACTGTCTTATATTGTTTCATATTTAAATGACTTCATACCATGATATTGTGACAGTTTATAATTGGAACAAGATTCATTCTAGGAAGAATTTATATGGAGTATTTCTAAGAAAAAACTGAAATAGAAAAGTAAGTTAAAAGTGTGTTAAGTAAGTGTGTTTAGCAGGTTATTAGCTTCCTGCTTTATTATAAACTGATATCCACTTGACGATTTTAATTACTTTTTAAAAGTTGTATATTTTGTATATAACAACACTGTGCTGATGTAGTCAGTAATTAGTTGTCAGAGTTATAATTTTTGTTTGGTTTGTCTTTTTCATTAAACCAAGAATCTTATCCATTTTATATCCCTACTCTTTAGGCACCTAATTTGCTATAATTGTTTTTAAAAAATGCGCAGGAGTTGAACTTAATATGTGGCTCATGGTGTTTTGCCCATTATAGGTACTCAACAGGTGTTTGTTGAGATATTGTGTGAAATAATAAATTGAACTAAAGGTACAACAAAGAATATAAATTTTAGTAGGAGAACTTTATTCTCTTTTATTAAAATTTAAACCTAGAAAGTTTTATGATCCAGATAGGTTATTATCTGGGAAGAATTTAATATTCTTAGAACCATATTGTTAAAAATAGCTCTTAGTAATTCCCACTAGACTGTGGCCTCCTTTGAGGGCAGAGACTAATTTGCTTATCATTGTCTCAGCATCTAGCACGTTACTTGAAACATAATAAGTATTCAATAGTATTTGATAAATGCATGAATATATTTAATATTATTATATTTGAGAAAATGTGGTGTATCATATCCCATAATAAATTAATTTTTGCTGTTTTCTTGTAATTTTCTTTAAAACTATTTTGACTTTTGCTTAATTTTTTCCACAGGAAAAAAATTATATTTGTCATGCTTTTTTAATTGTACATGCTTTGAAAGGCATGATAACTATTTTGAAAGTTAACCTTATAAATTCACACTATTTTTCATGAATCATGTGCTATATGTTGTGTATTCTGTAAATATTTCTGTACTTGCTTTCTTTTCCCTGTTTTTATTAGTTTTATTAGTTATTAAGTCAAGAATAGGTACCTAATAAATGTTTTTTAATAGTTGGTCAGCTTTCACTTTGAGACATGATCTCAAGTATGCAGTCTTTGCAGTGTTAATTATTTTCAAAAATTGTTAGAGTATTGTAAAATAAATGACATATGGAATGTATGAAAGAGATAGGAATGACCACTTAAGACTCATTCTAATTTGAAATACGTTATTTTTAAACTTTGTCTTTCTGAGCTATTTTACTTAAATTATTCCATACCCATCCTACCTTACCGTATTCTTACAGATATCCATATCCCTGGTTTCTACTTTCTTTTAAAATTATTGGTTAAAAAAAAAAAACCCTAGTGAACTGCCTTTTACTTTAGTTCTAGTAAGTCCATGTGGATATACTTGGATATCTTTTAATTGTAATACGGTAAGATTTATGTTATAATGAACAGAAATGACAAAATGACAAACATATGAATACCATCTTTTAGGCATTTTTGGAATACCTTTTATGTGGAAAACATGCTAGTATCATGAGGTTCAGAAACATGAAAAATACCACCCCATACTCAAAAAACTTTACTTGTGCTTCAGAGTACTATGGTTAAAACAATGACAAAAACTTATTACTTAATAATTAAACATGTATTGAGTGCACACTACATTATATGCCTTCTGGAATATAGGTGATCAGTAAGACATAGTCACTCCAGTTCTGTAAAACTCACATTATTATTATAGAGAATATAGAATAAAATTTTCCAATCCTGATTGTTATTAAACTTGTCAGCGAACAACTGAAAATAAAAATATTCCTTTTTGTCAGAAAGAAAAGTTAACTACTAATCATACATAATAATTTCTACTAAAGAAAACTGAGTTAATGGCCATTGCTTATACTTTTCCATAGAAATACCTCTAAAGGTAGAAAATAGCTCATCTCAGCAAAGTCTAAGAACATATTCCAAAGGAGCAAAGCTCTTGAAAATCTCATTTTAAAAATGAAATGTGATTGTTATACTCTGATATACTCAAGTTTAGTATAGACTGTTTCTCTCACCATTCCCACATCTTTTGAGTAAAATTGATATTCCAGGAAGATAGACAATGTTTATAATATGGCTTCTCTTATCCATGACAATGCATCCAAAACAAATGCCTGAGGCTGAGAAGTAAGGGACTAAAGATAATACTATGTAGAAGGTAATCTTTAGGCCAAGTCTCTCCTCTTCCACTCTGTCTTATTATGGTAGTGATTCAGGTATTTGTTCCAGATTATATGCAGTTTGATCCTCCACTCCAACACTTACTGTTAATTAAGTCTCTTAGTTTGGGAAAGTTACTACTTTATAGACTGTCATATTACCCAGGTTTTATAATGGCCAGAAGGATATAGTAAGTTTGAACACTTAATAGTTTGCATCTAAAACTTTGAATATCTTTTCTTTCCTATAGGCTATAGAAAAACATCTTATTAAGAAATCTCGTGGAGGTCTTGTCTTTATTGGAGAATGGAAGAATGGGCACTTGGAAAAAAAGATGGGGCATTTGGCCTGCTTTGCTGGGGGAATGTTTGCACTGGGAGCGGATGGTTCCAGAACAGATAAAGCTGGTCATTATTTAGAACTGGGGGCAGAAATTGCACGTACTTGTCATGAGTCGTATGACAGAACTGGTAAGAATATTAATAAGGCTAATTATATAGTCTAAAATAATCTCTAAAAATGTATTTAGCAATAAGAAGAATATGTAGGCGCTTGTTACTTCCAGATAGTTTACACCAACATGGCAAATCATTTTCTTAAAAACTTGAATTTTAATTCTGGAAATGTGTCTCTGCATTATTTTTTAAATTCTGAATTCTGCTGCTATTTCTGTTAAAGATTTTGAAGTAATTGTTTTAAAGACAAGAATCGTGGGGTATTTGGGAATAAATGGAAAAACATTTATTTTAATATAAGAATCCATTTTTACCATTTCAGCTTCTATAAAAACAGTTACTTAAAAGAACATAAAATTGACTGATTTCAGTTACATTGCCTTGCCTATCCTCTTGTGATAAAAAGAATAACCAAAAGATGATAGTATTTATCTTTATTGGTGTCTGGCTAACTAGTAGTTTTTCAATTAGTTCACCAATAGTTTTTGGAATTGTTTATGGCTTTAACTAAAAAGATCCTCTGACATTGCATTGGGCAAATATTTTCTGAACTTCAGTGTCCTTACCTAGAAAAGGAGATGATTCTTAAATGGTGACAAAAATTGGTTTGGTTGGGGCTGAAAAAATTTTTACTCTTTGTGTATAAAGCACAGATATACATATAGTCATACGTAGATACACAGTATATATTTGGTATTAAAATTTTATGGAGGGAGAAGGCAATTAGACTTTTTTTAAAAAGGCAAAACGCTTCTTAGGGGTGCAGTAATGAAAAGGGGCTGAAAAACACTGGACTAGACCTTCCAAGATTTTCTCTGGCTTTAAAAACATGAGTTTCTATAGAGGTAATGGATAATGAGCTCCCTGAAAGCCAAAAAACTAGAAATTTCTATTTGATTTCAGAAGTCAAATCATTAATTTTATCAAATAACAATTTCTGTTTTAGGGTTACTTTATCATCAGATACCATGAAACAAATATGATTGACCTAATTTATGCTAGTTCATAAATCTGTCAAGTTATTTTTATACACTAAGGAATTATTAACTTATGGCAAAATTGATTCTTCAGTTTTCTCGTTAACTAAATCAAGGGTTCCCTTTCTTGAAAGAATATAAGTCAAGAGGACAGTGAAGTAGTGTTATTTCAGGGTAGTTTAAGTGTTGGTGTGTAATACATATAAAGGCAGTGATTTGAGTTTGAAATAGAGGCTAAATTAAATTATCGTGTTGATATAGAATGTCAATTATGCACTTAAAATATAGCTAAAACATTAGTAAAACATTGAGGACCAGGATGGATATTCATAGAGGCTAAATTAAATTATTGTGTTGATATAAAATGTCAATTATGCACTTAAAATATAGCTAAAATTAGTAAAACATTGAGGACCAGGATGGATATTCAATTTTATATTAGGATCCACGAGAGTAAGGATTGTTATTTGACAGATTTTGACCGAAAATCAAATAATAGACCTAAAATAATTGAATTTCATATAGCATACATACTAAAATATGGTATATCATAGTTATTATAATTAAATATTTGCTCCATGAAATAGGAAACAGCCATTATATGCCAAGTATTATGCTAGATGCTTATAGGTTAAAGTATGAACAAGATACATTCCCTGCCTTTCAGAAATTCATAGTGTATCGGAGTTATGAAAGGATTTCCGTATATTTCTGGTTTTCATATTTCATAATGACATTGCTGATGCTGATTCTTTTTCTGATTGTCATTTTCACATTGCAAGTTGATGAACCTGTGACCCTCTTTGTTATGGTAAACCAAAACATGATTATTTGATTTGTGTCCTGTATTTTCAAGTCTTCTGTTGTTTTTACTTGTCTTTAATCTCAATTTAGATCCTTTAATTAAAAAATACAATCCTAGTTTTGCTAACTTTCCAGCAGGTTATTAATCCTCTGCTGTGTTTTCTTATAGCTGTGCTATAATTTTTGGCCGCCGTATTTTAAAATATCCATTCATTTCTCCTTAGTAGTTATTCCAGCTAAATTTATACTGTAATTATCTACAACTAAATCAATTCATGATCTAAGTTCTAAAATGTTTTCTTATACATGTGTATTATGGCAAAATGTCTTTAAAAATTACCTTGCCCTAAAAAAAAATCCACACAGTATAATTATCTATGTACTTTTATTTCGGACCACAGTGGACTATATGATGTGCAAATGTCTAGGTTTGCATTTGTTTCCAAAAGATTACTAGACTCTTATTGGTAGAATTGGATTTAGCAGTATGTTGATACACATTATTCTGAGAAACATTTTATGTGAGAATAATAGGAATATTTATAAGTCTATTTTAAGAAAACCAAATGTGGATCTTTTAAAATGACTCATTTTGCACTGAGTGCAAACAGCAACAGTAAAAATAAACAACAAAAATTACTTCATATTCTATTCTTTCAGGGAAGAAAGAAGTCCTTGCAAACAAACTTAAATGGTTTATTTTGCTCAGTTATTTCTTTTGTCATGTTACAGCATTAAAGCTAGGTCCTGAATCATTCAAGTTTGATGGTGCAGTGGAGGCTGTGGCTGTCCGGCAGGCTGAAAAGTATTATATCCTCCGTCCAGAAGTAATTGAAACCTATTGGTACCTATGGCGATTCACTCATGATCCAAGATACAGGCAATGGGGCTGGGAAGCAGCACTGGTAAATAAGCCAATATTCCATTTTATCTGAAAGAGTGTTACATCATGCCCTCCTATGATGCCATGTATCCTCACCCATGTTACCTCATTTTTAGTATCTGTAGGGCAGTTTTTGTTTATCTGATGAAGAAACTCTTAGTCAATTTAAGTTTCTTGGCAGTAGAAATAAATCTTACAATACATATTAAATATATATTAAAATATTAAAATATTTTTAAAATATATAAATATATATATTTCAAAGGAGAAATTTTTAATGGTTAGTAGGTAAAGGAAGCAAGGGTTTACTCTTAAAATGCTAGTCTTTCAGGGAATCCATGGCTATCAGTACCTAGGGAGGAAAAAATTATTAGTCTTTTATAAAAGTATAGCTTATTCCCAAGGGTAAGGGGTTGTTTTATTCTTTGAGATTTACTAATTGTGATAAATAGCACTAATTATGGTGACTATTCATATTCAAATTGTTTAACTTAAGCTTACAATCTAGATAGAATGATTAAGGAATCCCAAATGAGGTCAGTAGTGCTGGTAAAGTGCCCAGACAGGAATGTATGAGATATGTTTTAGGGCGAGATGTATACCAATTTGTGTAAAGAGAACGTTGCACAGTGGCAAAGCAGAGAGAAGATTGGAGACATTATAGTAGACAGCCTTACACACCAAATCAAAGGTTCTTAGTTCAGGAAATAAGACGTGTGCGCACAACTCCCTCCCTGCAATATACACTATCTTAGTTACTTCTGTCAGCTACTGTGTAAGTGCTGTCATATGGGAAGTGGTAATAGAAAGTTCTTTGCTTATTCAAAAAGCCCTTCAAATCTTGTTTTTCTTTTTTCCTTAGCATCTTCTACCTGCAAAAGCTGCTTGACTTTTGAGAATTCCTTACAGAACTACTAAATGTTTTCTAAGGGGGAAGGAACTCCTGAAGGCTTTTTTCAGTGGGGAGTAACAAAGCAAAAGGATCTGATTGTAATCCACAAGTTGGTGGGTTTGGGAGACCACAGCCATAACCTAGGAATAATGTGAGATCTTGAACTAAGGGGAGTACACTTATTTTTCACCTGTCATTCAGACCTAGGTAGTCCTCCTGGACTTTAACAATAAGAGCATATTAATGGAAGCAAGTGGTTACACAGGACAGGAACAGATGCAGCATTTATTGATGCTGCTTTTCCTTGGCTCCTTGGGTCCAGAAGTGGGAGCACAGCTACTAGTGAAATTCTCTGTGTAGGAGGGTGCTGCCACAGTTGAGAAGACAGCCAAACTATTGCCACAGTGGTTTGGGAATAGAATGCACACACACTTCTATTGTTAGCAGTGGCTTACTAATGCTTCCGTAAATTAAGCACTATTTTATGTAAGGGAAATAGATAGGTAAAATAATCTTATAATGAACCTGTTTCATTTGAACATCCCCTGTTATTTAATGCTTCTTATTTAGAGGAGTGAGGGGGATATGTCTGAATCATGTGAGGAGTGGAAAGTGGTGGCAGAAGCACTTTTTGTCATTGAGGAGTACTTTAGGATAATTCATCCATTTCCTAAGGTCCTTTTTTCCTGTGTGCTTTCTTCAAGTATGACCCTACTTTTGTCTGTTAAGGAGAGGTGTGACAGAGTCAGACTTTAGCCCATGTCTGTCTAAATTTGAATTATGGGAGGTAGAATTTTGCTTTTATAGCCTGTGTGGACAAACACAAACTCAATGTGTAATTGGTCAAGAACAAGAACTGGAGTACTTATATTCTAAATTCGAGTTTCAGAAGTGTGCAGTGGAAGTGATGAGAAGAGGGAGGAGTGGAGGCAAAAGAGGCAGTGTCACATCTTAAATAGTATTTGCTCATGCATCACCATTGGCCTCTCCTCTTGGGTGTGAAGAAAGCAAAGGGAAGGCTGGGTGAGGCAGAATAGCAGTATAGCATGTCTTCTGTAGCCTTGGCTATTCTATTTACATATTGAAACTTCCAAACTGGCCCTCATGACTCTAAATGTCTTAAAGATTAGTCATGCCTCCCCACTACTTTCGTATTATTCTTCAACCATTTTGATAGTTCATATGGTGGTGAAGACACATGATTATTGTGAAGAAAAGTACTTAAAAAGTCTTGTATCCAAAATTTCTTTATAATGTATTAGAGAAAAGCACCAAACCCCTTAAACTTAGCTGTAATCAAAATGGAGCTATAAAATGAACAGATTGATTAAATAAACACCTTTTTAATGTTAATTAGCTTTTCATAGGAAGGAGAAGCCCAGAAGAGTAAGAAAAGTAGCAAGACTAGAAACAACAAGCCATGGCAGACAGCGATGATTAGTTAAGTACCCATGCCTTCATTGGATGACCACCCAGGGTTAGGTAGAATAGAAAAACAGAACCACATGTGCTTTCCACTTTTCATGAATGGCTGAATTCTGGACTGTGCTGTACCTGCATAAGCAGACTGTTTGGTTGCTTTGAATTAAAAAATAAGGTTGTGAATAGATTCCATTTGATTCAGTATATTTTATTTAGACATGCCCAAAGATGCAAAAAGAGGAAGAATTTTAACTCTCAGTCAAGCAGTAAAGCACAGTAGTTAATAATGTGGGGCAAAGTACTCTGTGTCTCAGTTTTCCCATCTGAAAAGTGAGGCTGTTAACCTCATAGAGTTGTGAAATTCAAATGTGACTATATTTAAAGCTCTTAGAACAGCTTTTAGCACAAAGTAAATAGCTTATAATTGTTAACTCTTTATACTGTAATTATTATTATGGTAGGTGGGGTCTTTCTGCCAGTTGGTACCACCTGTAATGGCTAACTCATAGGATTATGATAATGCAATGTCTGGCACATAGTATGTATTTAGTAAATATGATCTCTTACTGCTATTACTATAGAGTGCTCCTAAGTAATACTTTTTTAGCATGTTGTGGATTATTGTTTGTCCTTGGAAGTGGTAAAATTGCAATAAAAATTGTTAATCGAAACTGACCTTCATCTTGATTTGTCAGAACTAATGGACCTTTATTTTGCCAGACAGACCCCTCATTTCAAAAAAATAGCCTAAATTTGATTTCTAAGTTAGGAAAATATAAGATGTCTTAAAAAGATTAAAGGGTTTTGGAGAGAGAGAAGTTCTATAGGAAATATCCTATTTCTTGTATGAGTTAATTTTTCCAGTATGAGAATATTTCCTTTTGATAATATATTATTTTTAAGCCATCAAATTTTCATGCAAATCTTTATGAACTTTTGACTATTATCCTTCAGAGTTTTGTTGTCCTTCAAAACTTGAAATTCTGCAGAATTGCTTATTTTGTCTGATCTCTTTCATAGGCCATTGAAAAGTATTGCCGAGTTAGTGGTGGATTTTCTGGAGTTAAAGATGTATATTCCTCTACTCCTACACATGATGATGTACAGCAGAGCTTTTTTCTTGCTGAAACATTAAAGTAAGTATATCGCTTTAAAAAAATTTTTATACTAGACTGGTTTTGCTGTGTGATCACTAGATGATGAATTATGACTATGTGACAGGTTACACTAAATTTTATTGAAAATATCTTTTTATGTAATTGGGTGTGTAAACTTTTTAGCTACATCTGAAGAAGAATGACTTAGACTGTAAGGTAGGTATTTTATCCAAAAAGTACTTAGTACCTGTTAAAATTTTTTGTTCCTTGTTCTTTAATGTGCATTAAAATCACCTGGAAGTCTTCTTAATACACAGGTAACTAGGTCCACACCCACAAAGTTTCAATAGATCTGGAGTTTAGCCTAAAAATTTGCATGTCTAACAAGCTTCCACGTGTTACTGATAATGCTGGTCCTGGGATCATACCTGAGCTCCCTACTGTAGCTAATGAAATCTGTTAGGAATAATCATGCAGTTTTGATGGTACTAAATGATCATAGCCACTTATCCTCCCGATGAGGTTTACTGTAAAGATACACATAAAAGGAACAATGGAAAAGAGTAGACAACTTTATTTTGGTCTTATACTCAAAACCCCAGGTAGAGCTCTCTGTAAGCAGACCTGGAAAAGATGGAGGCTGTAAATATGTCCACTTCCCTGAAGACTGACCAAATAAATATCTCTTTGTACTCTCTCTTAAATTTCTTATTTGTATTTCTTGCATATCTGTACATGAAAGCCTTGTAAACATTTTATTTTTTCAACAAATGTGTATTACCAGGCACTGTTCAAGACACTTGAGGATGTTTCAATAGGCAAGCAGGACAAAAATTCCTGCCTTCTGGATTTTACATTCTAGTATACTTGTAGTTTACGTTCTCATATATTACAATTAAAATGTACCTGTATCGAACTAAGTTTCTAAATGTCTATCCTAAATGCTATCTTATTCTAATTTTTCTTTTATTACCCCTAGTACTGTTGTTTTCCTGTCTTTTTAGCTTATACATTATAGAATCATTTCTGCTTCCTCCTTTTAATATATCACCAGTTCTTTATGCTTCTTTCTGTTACGTTTTTTTTTATTTTGCTTCCTCCTTTCCATTTCTACAGTTGACCCTAATCCAGCCCCTTATTACTTCTGGGATGGTTTAGAACATCTGCCTGGTACTCAGTTTCCTACATCTAGATGTTTCTTATTCTGACTTATCCTGTGTAATTAGGCTTGAGACTGTATAAGTTGAAAGAGCACTGGACTAGAAAATAAAGCGACAGGAACTTTAGTTGTACACTAGCTACATCTAGCTGAATGAACATGTCAAAATAAAATTTCTTTGCTTTTGGTTTACATGTCTGTAAACTATGGAATTTGGCCCAGATTATGTAGTATCTCCTGTTTTAGTTTTTTCTTTTTTAACTTTAGAAAAACTGTAAGATAGGATAATGATTATTTGTGTCTTTTCACCTAGTTTTGCCACATTTCCTTCTCTTTCTTTCTGCATACACTCACATATACACATAGTTTTACTTTTTTTTTTTTTTTTTAGCTTTTCATTTTGCTGAACAAGTTGATAGTGACCAGCATAATGATATTTCAGCAGTAACTTTCAAGAAAAGGTCATTAGCTTACATAATCACCATTTAGTTCTCACACTCATGAACCTTAATATTCACATAATATTATTGTCTAATATGTAGTCCCATTTTCAAATTTCTCCAATTGTTCCAGTAATGTACTTTTTTTTTGTTTAATGCCAATTCAGGATCCAGTATGGGATCATTTGTTACTTTTGGTTGTCATGTCTCTTTAGTCTCCTTCAGTGCAGTTTTCCTGTTTTTCTTTTATCTTTTATGAAATTGACATTTTTAAAGTATTCAGGCTAGTTGCTTTGAGGAATGTTCCCCATTTTAGATTTTTTTTCTAATTGTTTCTCATGATCAGATTTAGGTTAAACATTTTCAGCATGAATATTATATTGATCTGTGTTCTTATCATTGCATCCCTTAAAGAGACACATAGCAGTTTAGCCCATTATTGGTGAGTTTAGGTTTGAGTATAGGTCATACTTGATTATTGTCATGTAAACAATCTTTTTTCTTTTTGTAATTAATAACCTATCTGTGGAGTGATAATTTTGAGACTGTGTGAATATTCTTTTAATCCTAGATTCTATTCTTAAACCAACCTAATGTACATTCAAATATTTACATATATATAAAGTTTGTTCTGTTGCATTTGTCTATTTTATATTTAATTGCTTCTGGCAGGAATGCCTTTATCCTTTCTATCAATTAATGCCTCTCATTTCTAATTTCAGTTCATATTTCACCTCTTACAGACTGGCTTTCATAATTAATTCTCAAATCTCTCATCACTACAAACTTTAGCACTTTAGTACACGGCATAGGGCTGGAAATAGATGGTATGCTGCCTCATCCCCTTTGAGTACCTATATGGAATATCACCAGTTAATCTTGGTACTTTTCCTTGCCAAGTTCAGGCAGAATTCTTCTCAACACAACAGTACACTAGGTAACCAGTCAGATTAGATAGATAGATAGATAGATAGATAGATAGATAGATAGATAGATAGATAGATAGATAGATAGATAGATGTTTGCTACAATTTTTGCCTTTAAAAAAACATACATTTAGAGCAATAAAAGTGAAAAAAGGTCAAACAAAAAGAAACATACAAATAATTATAACATCACCTAGGCTCAGAAAATTGTCACAGTTGAGCAGTACGTTCAGCATTGCACTTCCTGGCAGCAAAAGCAAAAAGGAATCATTCTGCACAGTGTCATTATCATTTTTGGGAGTTGAGGAAGCATATTACTTTGACAAATGAGACAGAATTTTTTATGTTGCCAAATTATAAAATGACTTAAATTGGATAACTCTATGAAAATATTGAGCTATTAAGTGAACCATATGAAATTACCCTTTTAAAAAGGGTAATTTGAATATTGGCAATTTAATACAGTTCGACCTAATACATAATGGTAATGGTAAATATTTTGAAAATATTTATTTTGTTTGAAACAGTGATCTTAGAGAAGATACAAAAACACTCAATCTGATTTACTCTTTATAAAAACTGATGTAAAAATACAATTGAATAAAGTCATTTCTGTGAAGATGTAAATTAATGTAGCTGTAGTCTTATTGTAAAAATAGAGCTTAAAACTTTATAGAGGAATGAAGATAAGTATGATCCCTTAAATATTTCTCAAAGATCAGTTAATTTAAATAGGCTTTGTCAGAAGCTGTCAATTTAAGATTGTATATTCTACCAAATGGTGGGAATTTATTGGGAATTCATTAAAAGGCAACAATCAATGTGTTTTAGCTACCAGAGATGGAAACTGATTGTCACGGCAGTGGCAAAGTTAAATGAAAAAGCCTGTATTCTTGACCTAAGTTGAGGGTCATTTTACCTTTTACATGTTATCATAGGTGCTATACTATGGATTAGTTATTGCTATAGCTTTTTCCCCAGAAGAGGCCATGTCTCCTACTTTTTTTTGTTTCCCTTAATAGTCCTTACTTCATTTATTAATATTTATCTAGCATATATACTGATGGCATAACAAAACCTATGTAATAAGGAAGGTCAGAGATAGATTCCTTCAAAGGTTCAAAAACTCTTATACTCTAGTACAGGAAATAAAACACATGCAATATATACAACAAATTTCAAATACATTAAGTGTATAAGAGAAATATTAACAAAATGCAGAAGTCTTTTAGAGAAGAGGGTTTGCTTAACCTGGAAGACAAGGGAAGATTTCCTGGAAGTAGTAGCATTTGAACCAGACTTGAAGGCAGAATTGGTATGCAGGGGAATAGCTGTAAGGTAGACCATGGCATATTAAGAATGAGATGAGAGCTCTAAAGGTAGAATTGACAAACCTGAATATCTGATTTTATATAAGGAGATTCAGTAAGAAGGAAGAATCAGAGTTAATATTAAAGTTTCCAGTGCCAACCTGACTACAGTTTCTAATCAGCATGTTAGTGCCTTTTAAATATTAATAAACAGTATTAACTTAGAAATGTTTATTGAACTATAACATGTAAGATCAGCATGTTTGTGTATGTATGTTATACTTTGACTTTTAAAGTTTAAAATATGAATATAACAAGGTAATTTAAGAAAATATCCAAAAATAGAAGGGTATGTTTCCAGCTTGAAGGAAACCATCAAGATCCCAGCATAGAAGATGAAAACAGACCCACACCAAGGCACAGCACGTTGAATTTCAAAACCCCTGGGGTAAAGGAAAGATCTCAGCTTCCACAGGGAGAGAGAGTAGAATAAAGTCTCATCGATATGGATTCAGGGTGGCTTCAAACTTCTCAAGAATAGTCATGAAAGCTAGAAGCATTGGAGCAGTTGATTCATGACAGAAAATTAATTCCAACTTAGAATTCTGGGTTTTTAGCCACATAAGATATCAAAAATCCACTTCCAATCCTCTTTCTCAGTAAGTTTTTGGAGGGTGTGCTCCATGAAAACTGGATATAAACCAAAAAAGACACGAATACAGGGAAGAAGTGAAAGGAAGATTAAGGGAATGATATATTGAGTTTGAGGAGGACAGAGGCTCTAGAGAAATTTCTTCAAGATTAAATTTATAGACTGTTTATATCTGAATATTTTGAGATGAGATTTAGACAGTTGGTGAAGATTTTAGGTGCATTATCACTAATAAATAGAAGTCAGCTTGCTTTTTAAATAACGGGAGGAGTCGTGCAAGAAAGGAAAAGCCATGAATAGGTTTTAGTTAACATACGAACTTGTTTAAAGACACTTGGTTGGAGTCTTGATTGTTTTGTAAGAAGAGCTAAATGGTATTACTGCCCCCTCTCTTCAGCTGCAAGAAAGAGAAGTATGTTCTTT